ACACAGGGTACCAGTTGTCATTGATACCTGGTAAGGGATGGTATGAGACTGATACGTTCGGGACAGGCTTTTTCCAAGGTAAAGGCTGATAAAAACTAGAAGTTAAGCGAGATAGCCAGCGGTATTTATTTAGATGGTCTTTGGTGCTCCTATCTCCTGCAAGTCATTAGCATGAAAGATTATGACTCTTGCACTTTCTGGGATCGCCGGGCTTTTAGTACCAAGACTCGGAAGGTTATCCTAATGCTAGTAAGATCGGCCGTAGGGCGGCAGTCGGCTTAGCCGGCGTGGGCGACGTATCACAAGGGAAACCCTTCGGGAACAACTATAGGAGGATTAATTGGAGGTGCGCTTGCATGATTTTGCTTTTTAATTTAATTTCCCATGTCCCGCAGGTACCTACGTACAAGTATTACCAATAAGTTTCATCAGGCTATCATCAGCGGCAGTAGGAATTCACACCCCTACAGCGGGTAGCATGCAGCATGCAGGGTGTGTGCTACACAGCATCTGCCGAGTAATCTAGTACGACTACTACTTTTTCAGCTTCAGAGCTATAGTGGGATGATATTCGTCATGGCGCTCATATGTGTGATCACACCCACTTGACAATCTGCTCATCACTGCCTAAACTCTATAGAGGTACTTTTGCAGAGCAATCTTCATGTGGAAATTGATATCCGATTAAACTTGAACACGCTACGACTGCGGATTTGCGGTGGCCTGATATTCCGCTACCCGACCATAGCACAGTTGTCAGTGACTCCGGGCGACACCGATAAGAGACTATGAAAATATATCCTGCACTGAAGGTAAAAATTAGGGGTTTGGTTTTGTTTTGTTTTTCTGAGACAAATTAGATAAATAAACAAAAAAATAAATAGATAGATAAAACATACCAACTTTACGCTTTGTTCTCCATTGTAGCACAGGAAGAAGCTCATAAAGTGGAAGCTAAGCTCAGCTCGCTCGAACCAAGATTTGTGGACATGAGAACCTATCTTGGTACAACTACATTTGGGTTTTGTCGCTCCACCAGGAGAATTCTAGGCCAGTCGACACATCATGGATCTTCTAGACAAAGAGCTCATTCAGTTTGACACATACTCGAAAATCCAATGATTAATCTTAGAATCATCGATTTTTCAAAAATAGTAGTTCTGTATTACACAGTGTCTCGGACAATCAAAGTTGGTGCTCACGTAATGATTTGTATAAATCGTGGATTATGTTCATTCACAAGCATCATCACAATACAGTCATAATTGTCGGGTTCGAGGGTAGAACGAGGTGATTAAACTCAATATATTCCCTGTAGCCTGTGTCAGTGTCACCGAGGCTGTGCATATGCCTCGTACAGCATAATCACAGACAGCTCATGACACCAGAAGTTAGAAACCATGTGCGAGTATGACATGTTCTACGGAGGATACGGAGGTATTGTGATCCACGTGTCATGCCTATTGCGCGATATTCAGAAACCTCCGCATCCACTCATAAAGAAGTTCTGGAAACTGCAGAATACAAATAAGGTAATTACCTACACCAAGTAGTACTACTACTAGTACTCTAGTAAGTGACGTGAACCTTATATTACAGGGGACTGAAAATCGACTGAAGAATAGGTGCCAAAAAGGTAGGCCGGGCAGTCTCGGGAGGCCTTTCGCATGTGATCGGGAAATCTCGCACTTCTATCGGCAGCGCAACCCGATTCTTCAATACAATTACTGGTAATCGAATACCCACTGTAACCCGTCATCATCCAATATGTCTACCTCGGATCCTCGGTGCCAACATTCTTTGGAAAACAACAAAGTCATTAAAAACGAAAGTTATTCTCCAGGTTCCTACAATGGTAACACATCACGTTTGTAATGTTGATTACTGTCTCGTAATGGTGACGCGGATCGAAAAAAGAAGCTCTCGGGCCGCTGTTCTTCGAACACTTACCCAATAGCCTAGACCCCTCGAAAGGGATCGTCTTGACGCAAGCCATGATATCACGGTTGAGCTGACGTCGCAAGAGACTGTCTACAAGTTTTAAAATATTTCTTTGATTGATTTGTTATCCTTGTTCGTGTTCCACACCTACACAAGGATGGCAGGCAAAGAAATCTGCTATCAAAAGGTTTGCACCTTCCCAAAGTGAACTGTCGTCGATCATCAGGCAACGTACTGTCCAGGATTAGATTCGGTGAGGCACGTTCCAGAACAGAGAAATTTCCAGGGTCGACTTGCAGATTTAAGCGGTGATCACATCGTCTAAGCCAGCAAAGTTAGTGGTGTGGGTCGCATCAGAACGCTAATCACGCACTAAAAATTGTCACAGATAACTCTCTCAATCAGGAAGGCACAGCGTACTGACTATCAGGGTATGGCTTGCGAGCAGCTCGAAGTTTGGCGTCACTGCCCTCATGAACCTCTTAGAGACTAATTCTTTCTTGGAAGCATGTGCAAAAAGAAGCCAACCAGTAACATGAATTATTCTTTTCTTACGAACTCAGGCATGTGGCAATTCTTCTCATCGCTATCGGACTTATTACGGGGAAATGGCCATTCGGGTTGTTGTTACAATGCAGCCAAGTAGCCACCACAGTTTGTTTCATGATTTGCACTACTATAGGTCGACGAAGATCTTCGGAGTACACAATGCCGACGGCTTCGTCAAGGCGAAGTCCATCGGCATGCCGAGCAAATTTTCTGGGACAACCTGGGCGACTCGGTGTCTCTATCCGGCATAGTCATGCCAAGTCGTAAAAAGAACCCGAATCTGATATCAAGACTGTTGCATCGCAGGGCCGCCACTTTGACTCACGAACAGAGCTAGAAAGCTATTGGAAAATGAGCCCGGTGAAAATCGCTCAGACAAATGTCTACCGTTGCAGTCAATTTCTGTAAGACATACGAACTAGGTACCCCACTACCGCTATCATGAAACAAAGAGTAACGCCATTCATGACTCGCCCTTGCCAAGCAGATTTACCAGGCACAGGAATATAGATAGGCTCCATGTTGATATCCACTTTCTCGGAGCTGCCCGTCTGCCCGTCATTTGCTGCCGTTGAGGAAATTTTTGACCGCTACCTTGAGGCTAGAAAAAGTTTACTGCTATCTATGGGGACTTTGTTTCCGCAGTGGACGGTTGCCGATGGTTCCACCCGAGATAATAATATCAATCGGGTAACCGTATCCCCTACCAACGAAGTACTCTATTACGATTGGAACTTTGACCATGGCGCAATTTCCCCTATCTACTAGGTGCCGATTGCGACATGGCGTCGGGCGAGGAGAAGCAAAGCCAATGATGATTTTCCCTTAGCACACGTTGGCACGCGTTTATTCTTTTACCCGAACTTTTATTTTTGGCCCCAACAATAAGAGCAAGAATATTAATCGCACGATGCACAGATCTCTCTACCCTTATCTATACCACGTGCGCATATAATGAGTGCCGCCACATTATAACGTTCGAGCACGGCATGGCTGTATTCAATAACTAATATCAGGATGACTGGAAGCTTAGCCCTATGGTCACAGAAATGCATATCTTCTCCCTATGGAGATAAGCCGAGGCGCAATTTCAAGGTCTCTTGGGGACGTATATGACCATCATCATCGTACTATATGTACCTGGAAGTCTTTCAAGGCCACACTCAAGCTTCAGTAAAGGATAAATTGTCAAAATAATCACATTGACAGAACCTAAGCTCGTACGCCAAGAACCGACATGGCAGCCGTACTATCTATCCCACACTAAGTACTTGAAACTCAAGGGAATAATATTTTGCCGGGAATTTCTATAGTTGTAATCACCTTGAAGATCAATAATAAGAATTTTCCGGGATCAATGCTCATGGCACCGCCAAGCGACCAGTTCTTCGGCAGCGGCTGAGACACAATATGTCCACGTCACAGGTCTAATATAGAATACCTTGTTGAAATACCTTCCATATCAATCTCGGTCCATGGGCCCCCTCGAGCGCTCTAATGTGACGACGTCTTGCTGCACTGAACGCGCAATATCCCAAGCCACTGCTTCCCGCCCTTGCCACCGATAACCAATGCTGCAAGATTCAACCAAAAGCATCATATCAATATCTCATAGTGACCGGGATCATGAAATTGCTCTCTATACGTATATGCCAATCCCAGGTTTATTGTGAGGTATTTAGAACCAAGTCGCCGCCGGAGTCCGCAGTGGTGATCATCACAATTGGGTTATACCTCGAAACATGGACTATGAAGCTTAGTATGTGCCGACCCTTAATCAACCTCGCACACGCCATCTGTCTGTAGATTTGAGATAAAATCGAAGAAGCATAACCAATAGGGTATTTGCCGTATAGGCTAAAATCTACAGCATCAAATGCAAGACCGTTGAATCAGCCTAGACTAGACTCTATCTACTTGCGAGGAGGTTACTGTATCCACTGATCAAATCTGGTGACCCCATTTCCTTTCTCCACCTCCATCTGCCAATCCCGGATAGTAGATACACAGCATAGCCCCGCTTTCTAGAGACGTACATCGAGGAACGAGAGAAGTATTGATACATTTATTGACAATGCTGTAGAACTGAAGTAAGAGATACATAAGTAATGAAATAGTGATCGAGAAACACAAGTATTCCTGCCTCGCTCCTGTTTGATCATATGTATATGATGGAAGTAGTGGTCACACGGCAGAAGACAACACGATGCATATGTAAAGGCGAGTTTGACAGCCATAAGAACACCTCACCACCGACCCCAAAAACAAAATATTAGAATCACGAGTATAACATAGCAGAATAAGAGCAAAGTCCTGGAAATTCAAGAAGACAACGTAGAGGCGTTAACAAGCACAACGCTCTAAAAGGACGACGATATAAATGGCACGAAGCACGCGGTATCAATTTCGAGCCAGCAAGATGATCCACGGCATAGTGATTATTTTCGAGGGACTATATTGCGTATCGAAATGGGTGAAAGACAGGGATGATGGGAATAGACTCGATCGACTCAGAAAATCCATCCCAGTATCACCCATAATGCCAAGCCGATAGCGATAACGATTCCGGCTACTTTCAAAACGGCGACGGTATCGCCTTGACGTGCCATGCGGGTCAAGCGGCTGGCGCTGCCTGTCAGGCTCGTTGACAGGGAAGAGAAGACCTGATTCTGTATTCGGCATTAGTTAACTGCGGGTATTGGTCGTGTTGAGTGATGACGAGGATGGATGTGAAAATCAGTTGGAACCTGGTAGGGTGGCGACATACCGAGTGGTCTAGAGTGTCTTGATCTCGAGCATTATCGTGAATATCGATGGTTACGGATTTGAGAGCCGAAACTTTCGACGACAGGGAGTTCAGGAGGGCGTTGTTTTGTCTGTATGTAAATTGTGAGTAGGTTGGTCCTTACAGCTGCATTTCTTGGGCTGCCCCTGAGATGGTAGAAAGGAGAGTGTCGTACTGCTCACGTTCGTAGGCGTCTCCCATCTTGTCCGATACGATTCCACTTTCTTGTAGGTTCAGATTGTGTACTGTCACTGCTCGGTTGGCTAGTGAATTAAAGTTGAATAGCTAATATCGCTAAGAACTCGGACAGGTTGAGGAATATGGAGAGTCGTTTGACGTACGTTGAGGCGAGGACTGAGTACAGCCACAGCAGGCCAGTAACGATGATGGTGAGGCTGGTGGGGAGATTAGATGTCCTTTGTCACGTGATACTATCTCCGCAACGCCTATATTTCCGAGAAAACTAACAAGACAGGACTCAGGTTCCAGGTTCCAAATAAGATACGTAGTATATTCTATACAGTACCCTGGTCTTCATCATTCTAACTTGCGGAGTACCACCAAATCTACTATGTGCCATGCCGTCATGTACCAATCCAAGAGTAAATCAGTCCGCGGGCATTGCAAAGGGGACAAGGACAATCCCCTTGAACATGCAGCATGATAAGCTGTCGGTCCATTGAAACATCTGAACTGAAAGGATAGAAATGTATAATAGAGGTGTCAAAACAACCAGAAGTGAGAATGAATTGAGAACCCCAGACGCTATGCAAACAAATCAAGGAAAAATTGCCAATCCAAGGCAACATGATTTGCCAAGCACTATCTGGCATGACAAGATACCGCCAGGTGCAAGGCGTGTTATATAGGGATGGAACGGAACAGTATGTAAGTGTGTACACCGACAGCGGTGGAATCGTATGATTCCGTCACTGGGCATGAAGGATGGTTGCTGCCTTCGTCATCCTTTGAAGGCATGTACAAGAGACAATGAGGAAGGCGTGATCAGTATGCAATGCTGTGGAGAGACGGGGGCGGACAAAGCAGGGGTATTTGAATGTGCTGCAGGAGAAATAAGGAAAAGGACAGGATACTCCTCTTTCCTGTCACCACATATCATCATCGTCATCATCTAGCTGGACATCATCACCGAATGTCGAGTTTCCATACTGATAATGTCCGGGACCGTAGGCATGCCCGTTTTCATAGCCATTTTTGCTACCACGTGTATGCTGTCGATAAGCATCATGGGAGTCATCACCATATTCATACATTTGAGGATCATCGTAGGAACTATCGCTGTAGTGCTGCATCTGGGCCTATACATGAGGTTAATGGCTGCATGGCTATAGAGAGTACATAACACTAACCTCTTGGTATTGCTGATATCCTGAATAATCGTCCTGTTGGTCCCTTGTCTTCTGATGTCTCTGCGATGCTGACGAAGCGAGCATTAGAGGATGCATTTGTTGTACCTTGGCCAAGTACGAATACATGAAGTTGCTGAGCAGAACTTGAGAGTACAACGCGCGTCGGGGATTCGCAAGCTTGATGTGGGCCATTCTGTAAATAGCTCGCTCTTCCAGAATGGTGAAACGGGTCCAAGGATAATCAACATCAGGTCGAAGTTCCCGTGGTGGCGGATCAGGAGACAAGGTCCGAGATGAGCTTTTCTTATGATTGCTATCAGTGCTGCTCTTTTTCTTGCCACCTCCAAATAATGAAGAGAACAAGCCGGACTCCTTCTCTTTCTTCGACTCTCCCGAGGTCCTTCTAACATGGTCCTTTCGACGTTCCTCTTCCAATTTAGGGTCGAGCCGGTCCAATACAAGGCTTTCACGTCCACGTTGCCCTGAATCGTTAGAAGACGGGAGAGCATTTGCTGTTTCATGGACTTTATCAACCAGTTTGGCTTTTATCTTCTTAGCATCGCTCTCCTTGTCCTTTTTCTTTTCTTTATCCTTGTCCTTATCTTTTTCCTCGCTGCCTAACAGCCAGTGCCAGCTCGACTTGCGGGTACCTTCTGACTCCTTCTTGTCCTTCGATTTCTTCGGTTCCGGCTTGCGTTCCTCTGACAAGGTAGGAATAAACGAAAGACTATCTGTCCGGGTGCTATTGCCCGGTAGAGCCTGAGGACTGTTGGCGAAGTCACTAAGGGTACTCGCGCTGTCCCTGCTATGCATGCGGTTGTGTAGTGACCATTTGCTTGAACTTTGATCGTAATTACCTGATCCCTTCGCGGGCGCAGCGAGGATGATGGGGAGTCCTGAGTTAATCCGCGCCCAGAGGTGGCACTTGACAGTGAGGTAGGGGTCGTAGGTGCTGCGCTAGTTTCCGGCGGAGGAGTTTCGATGATTTCTGGAATTTTTTGTTCTGTAGGTGGGATGTTCAAAGTTGACCGCCCGTTTGAGCTGAGGCGCGAGTGCCACTGACGTGTCTGGGAGGATGTATTTGTCTTGCCCCCGGATTCCGCCATTGAGGGCTCACTTGGCCGGTCGTTTCCAGACTGCAGCTGGTCCGAGACAGATTCAAGCGCGGAGCTGGTTGTTTCGTTAGACGGTGACGCTGCGGACTGAGCTGGTATCCCCGAGGCCTGATTTCGGGTTATGCTGGGAGTGGGATCGGTTGACACTCGGGCGAGACCCGAGGTCGCCTGCTCACCAAAGGAATTGGCAGTTGATGAGGCGCCCTCCTTCACATCGGAGGCTTTTGCGAATCGCTTGGAATAGGGTAGCTTTTCACCCTTCTTCAAACTTCCCGCCTTTCTGTATTGCGTCCTCGTGGATCGTCTAAGACTGTGACCCAGGGGCGCAGGCGGAAGGATTGGCCTGTCTTCGTCTGCCGTGATTCCGAGGTTCTGAATTTCATTTAACAATGTAACAGGACTCGTACTTCGCGGCTTAGAGTTATCTACCAAGGTCTCCAATTCTTGTAGATTAGGGGTCAGAGGATCCCTTCTCGACTGAGATCGTTTTCGCTCTAACCGTTCTGCGCCATCCGTATAGCCATGTGAATTGTCAATTTGCCTAGACAACATAGACTTTTTCCGCCTAAGACCTCCGGTTGACCCTTGGCGTTCCGGCCCTAGGGAGTTGAAGTCGCCAGATCTCCGCTTTATTTGTTCCGTCTTACTTTCGAGGAATGATTTGAACTCCTTGGGGGCTAACTCCGGATGCAGGCGTGCAGGAACCCAAAATAATCGAGCAGCGTCATTTTCGTCGGCGGATGGGGAGGGTGGTACGGAGAAGTCGGAGTTGAAGCTCGGAAGGTCGGGGTCGCCCGTGGCAGCTACATCCATGGACATTCGTCGGATGGCGGCTAGATTGTTAAGTTCTTGGGCCACAGCAGCAGGGTCAGACTCGTAGTCGATATCGTTGAGGGGGAAAGATGTGGTGGCGGTGTCTGTTGATCCAGGAGATGTGGTTGAGGTAGGTGATGCCGGACTGCTACTTTCCCTATTCAAAGAAGTGGCCCCATCAGTGGGCGGCCGGGACTGTCCGTTCACGGGGTGATGATTGTTGACTGCATTTAAATGGTTCTGCAATTGTATCGACTGCGGTGAGGTAGGGGATGCAGCGCCGGCAAGATTCGGGGGAATTATTGAGATCGATTCGCTCAAAGGTGAGGAAATATAGCTGAGGCGCTGGGAGTTCCTTTTGTCGTAATCATCGTCGTACATATGACCAATGGCCTCCGTGACATGGTGACTCGGGTCACTAATCGACAGGTGGGACGCATGGCCTCTCCGCGTTGCGTATCCTCCGCCAGCCTCTGAGGGACTCGGTGTAGCCTACATGGTCAAAAATAAGTTAGTTTAGGTAGAGCTCTCATATGCAACCCGCAAGGTTCTGGATTGCCTGACAACCCAAGATCAGCCATACAACCTTGCCTTTAGACACAGATCTATGGCAAGGACGAAAGAGTGGTTGGGTGGGTTTCTTTCGGGGGTGGAAAAAAAAAGGCTAGCGAACGGTAAGGGTCATGTCGACTAACGCACCTGCATGGGAGCGGTTTGACCGGAAACCTAGGAGGAAGACGACCCGAAATTGACGGAGGACCCAAGGGCGATAGGATACTCGCCTCGTGAAGAGGAGGTCACTGTACCACCAGGGCGAGAGAAACTTGAAATAAATGGGTGTTCATGGAATCATGGAAGCGGGGAAGAAGCGTTGACCGAGAGTAACAGAGTGTCTGGGGGTGAAGAAGATGCGGATAAGGGTTAGGCATCCGGCGACCTTGGGGCTTGTCGCAGAGTTTCTAGAACAAAGAGGCGAGTTTGAGGGAGGTCGGAGAGAAGAAGGGGGGTATCGAGCCGACGTAGGAAGGAGGCTGAAGAAAGTTCTGGTGGTGAATGTTGGATCAACTGTAATCGGTTTGGGGAAATGGTGGATGAGGATGGGAATTAACAATTCGGGGGGTTGTTCGAGAAAGCCGTTTGGTTGGTTGGCTGGACTTAGGACGGCTGGTTGGCGGGCGGCGAGGGAAAAGCAGACTTGCAGTTGCTTCACTTCCACTTAGTTTGTGTGTAGGAACAACGGTTCGGTCCAGATTTAGAGTCGGGGATCGGGGGTTTAATGGTTATTACTCCATATTATACACTAACCCTCATACCCTTCAGATCTTTTTTTTTTTTTTTTTTGAAGGGGGGCAGGTCATTTGCTTTTTTTTTCTTCCTTATGCCTTTCTGTTTGAGCTAGGTCACACCGTGCTGATTTTTGTCTATAAGTGCAAAAAGAATAGATTTATTGATTTGATCAAGTCGAATTGGGAGAGTCAGTAGGTATATTATCTCTTATTATAATCACACCCTTGACTTTCAACCACAGCGCTTAGTCACATTTCTTTGCTCCACTGTTTTTCAATGGGACGATCAGAGTGGCCCTGTCTGGCCGATAGGCGATCGTTGATCAGCATGTCCCCCGTGCCTGATAACTAGTAATAGGATTCGATTTCCGAATGGATCTGTTTTCAATTTGATTCAAACTATTGTTCTCGAGAATGGAATTCTTATGTTTGATCTTTCTCGCTGCGTCCGTTCATTCTTAGTAATTCTGGTTAAATCCGTTCGATGTGGGAGCGTCTCTCACGTGTCCACTAGCAAAAGTATATAAAATCCGCAACTTAATCCAACCTCTGATGTCCACCCGCGCAGCCAAGCCACAACGATGTGTATGCTAATGAGCATGAACCTTCATTCCTCGTTGGTTCCGGACATGCTGACTAGTGGTGAGGTCTCCTGTCTGCCTCCTCTTAGATAGTATATCCTTATTTCCTTCTTTTAAATTTTCTCTTGGCTCTCCTAGGAACATGTCATTCATCTTCGACCGTGATCACCTCTGATATTCTGATACGGGACTACCATGATACATACATACATACATACATATATGTATTGAGGATTTCTCTTCGAATAGTTTCCTCCTGCCATATAAGGAGATCAATGAACCTCACTGTTTCCGTGACAAGAATGATTGGACACCTGATCAAATTCATGCGCTCGCAAACCTCTAATCACTAGTCACTAGTAGTATTTTATTGCCCTGAAAGCTCATTTGTTCTCTGGGAACAGTTCCATAGCCGTCCACCATCCCCATCAACAAGCCACCATCGGGAATGTTGCCATGCCTTTCTCAGCCTTGTTGGCCTCTGACAACCGAGAAAAGCATTAACTAGCCACCTCTTTACATTTTACTAGTATTACTTGGCGGGTCTCGTGCTTCGAGTCCAGGACTATCATTGGCTGACAGCGTCTGATGACTTCGGAGGGATTGATGGGTGACAGGCCTGCCCCGTGGATAATACATAGGCGTGAGGTACGGTTGGAATGCGATATCGCTTAACCGTCTAAACTATTCCTAGGAATATACACGCACGTTTTGCGCAAAAGGTCCGCTGAGGACTTTCGCCCTGTCGGTGACGACTCTCTATGGTCACAAGTGGGCAGTCCCTTCTTTGTTTCATCCCTTCCTTTGATGGAAGCCAATCAACTGGACACTGCGCAGCTAACTTTCACAAGCGAGAAGAGGAGAGAATCAAAAGGAGAACCGAAACAAGATGATGTAATCATGAATGACATAAACAGTGCAGAGGGGAAATTTTCATTCTAAAACCAAACCAAATCCACCCTTCTTTGAAATGCATGCGCGAGAATAATGGAAACTATCAACACCATGGAAAAGAGGAAAGGAACATGGAACGATAAAAAAAAAATAGAAAGTTAAAAAAAGGAAAACGAAAAAGAAAAGAATACAGACAGACAGAAAAGTTCGGCAAAATCCAGATATACAAAACATCCCTGAGGTTTCCTCATGGGTTAATCCCGGACACGCTGGTCAAGCCACTTCGCATAATGACGACACTATCGCTTACACTAGAAAGCTGAAACATGAATTTCCGGATCAAATTGGGTATGGTGCTTCCTGCAATATGGACCGAAACGCTTTCGGTTCGATTGTGAATCATGAAAAGACGAAAGGACTCTTGGAAGAAAAGAGGGCTTGATTTCTTGGTTCATTAGAATTCGTTCCGCATTAGCCAGGGGTTGGCAGTAAGATTTCTAGGCCGTGTCGACATAGTTCCTAAGAACAGATGATTAGTCCAAAGATCTAAGCTAATTGGGAAGAAAACGTTTCCTTACGCAGGGAAGATGCCAACCCGATCTCCGATGCGCCCCGTCCACCAGTCTTCCTTCTTCTCGGTGCGTTTAACGATCGTAATGATGTCGCCTTTCTTGAATCCCAGATCTCCTTCTTGATCGGCATCGAAGGTGTAAAGGGCAATCGCCTGGTCTTGGCGCAGAGAAGGGGCTTGTCCTGTCCGTTGCCCGAAAACAGGCTTGGGTGCCGTGGGTCGGCTGGGCTTGTTGTCAGAATAAACATAGTCCTCCTCGAACGGTGCTGTGTTACTTCGGCTGCGGCTGTATGTGTCTAAGGTATCATTGCGAGGGCTACGGGTGGTCGATGAGCGACTCAGGCTCCCGGCAGGCCGGTCGTATATATCATCGGCCCATGTGTTTGCGCGGCGGGGTCGGTCTCGGTACTCGTAGGTATCCACATCATTGGAACCTGTGCGGTCACGCCGGAGACCCTGTCCGTACGCATCTCCCCGTCGTCCTTCCCACACCACATCATCATGATGGTCGTCGTAAACAGGTATATCATTGTACATCGCATCCCCGTTTCTCCCGTTGCCATAAAATGCGCGGGAATTTAGCACACGCATAAGGGGATCCGCGCTTGGGGGCGGTCTAATAGTCCCACTCAGTAACTGCCGGGCTGACACTCGGCTGTTGTAGAGTTTCTCGTTCGCATCCTTCCGTTCCACTAGCATGCTTCCCTCCAAGCTGATACCTGCGAAGAGACCCTTCGTCTTGGAGTAAGAGAAGACTGCGGCCACGCCCTTTGTGCTTGCCGCTCCGGCAGCCTCTGCATTGCGTCCTACCGGTCCTGCGGCGAGCGAAACATTACCGCCAAGAGTTAGAGTTCCTACTTGAGAAAACGTTCGGACAGCGGCGGCATCGTTGAGAATGAAGACGAAATCGGTCAATTCGAATCCAATCTGACCTCCGAACCCGGCACCTGCGGTTGCGATAGCCGAGGGAGCAGACCAGGATCCATCCGCCAAGCGGGCAACAACAACGCCCGATCCAAATCGAGCGGAGCCTAGGAAACCAGCCTTGAGAACGGTGAGGATCGCAAGCCCCTAGCAAACCAGTGGTCAGTTCCCGACGCTACTTTCTTTGTATTCACAGGCTGTGACTTAGTGTTTGCGAAATTGTTCTTTACCTTAGCACCTGCTAGGATTTCAGGAGGAATGATCTTATCAGGACCAAAAGCTTGCCGAGGGTCGATAAACGAGGCAAGGATTTTACCAGCCTTTCTACACTCGCCTGTTGTGCAGAAACAGCGTTAGTATAGTATTCTTCAGGCCCCCTCTATCAGAAGTGCGGGGAAACTTGGGCGGGTAGTGAAATGAAACATACTATTCAAAGACGAAGGCAAGGGATTATGAATCCCGAGAGGCATTTTTGACTGTGCTCGCTAGGGCCTGAAGGGTAGAGGTGGCAGGAGAATTGGAGGAGGTTCTAGGAGATTGGGCCGGAGAAGTTGATAACAGGATATTCTGCGGAGTCCGTTCGCCGTTCGGATGGGGAGACGACCGAGAGGTGGATCTGACTAAGTGACAGGTTCACGGTTAACTAAATAAGGTCGAGATTCCCGCAGTTCGGTTGTAATTGAGTGGTGGGATTACAACTAAGATAAACCACCGCAGCGAAGAATCGACGAAGAAGTGACTTCTTCAAAATTCTTACATTAGAAGATGGTGAATTTCTTTTCAGGTCAATCAACTACTAGTAGTATCCATAGCTCAAGTGATCAATAGCGCAAGTTCCGCAAGCAGCCTGCTGCGGCATGTTTCGATTTGTAACTGAGTGTGGCTGGGTTCTTCTGTCAGCTTCTCTTCGATGTTTGTAAACGTAAACCTCAGATTGTAGCACCAAAACAATTAATCGTCTCCTACAGTCACGATATGATAGAATCTATTCCTTTCTTAACGAACCGCGAAACAAGATACCTTGTCGTCGCTTTCATGTAGTACATCAATAGTTGATTCCAGCGAACTGTTGAAACCTGAGGCTGCAAGACGGCACAGCCACCGCCTAACCTCCGAGGATCACTGCAATGGCAACTGAATACCGAAAGAGCTTTGTCCAACCATTCGAGTCTACGTTTTCCGATGATTACGGTCCAACAGTGACGTTTTATGGAGAATGCATCTGGCAATGATTTGAAAAAAGCATTTTCAACCGCCTTCCTTTGTTAAAGATGGCTACAGGTGCGAAGATATTGTCAAGAACACTAGTTGGGGTCACAGGCGACACTGACGCTTTCCAGTGCGAATTTGTGTTTGCGGAGATGAGGGCACTGGAAAGTCCAGTCTCATCACATCGCTTGTGAAAGGGGTCTTTGTGACAAACAAGATTCAGCCAATCTTACCCCAGATCACGATTCCTCCCACGATCGGAACCCCCGAGAATGTCACGACAACTACAGTGGTGGACACTTCCGCTCTTCCTCAAGAGCGGAGTAACCTGGCAAGGGAGATCCGGAAATCAAACGTGATTTTGCTTGTATATTCAGATCATTACAGTTATGAACGAGTGGCACTATTTTGGCTTCCATACTTTCGCTCTTTGGGAGTCAATGTACCCGTGGTATTGTGCGCCAACAAGTCCGATCTCGCCGCGGATCATAGTGAAGCACAAGTTATCGAGGAAGAGATGTTACCGTTGATGGCAGAATTCAAGGAAATCGACTCATGCATTCGGACAAGCGCGCGAGAACACCGCAATGTGAACGAGGCTTTCTTTCTCTGTCAAAAGGCGGTCACTCACCCAATTGCGCCCTTATTCGACTCCAAGGAGTCGGCTCTCAAACCGGCTGCTGTCGCGGCATTGCAACGGATTTTCTACCTCAGTGACAAGGACCGTGACGGCTATTTATCTGATAAGGAGCTCGAGGACTTCCAGATGAGATGTTTCGAAAAGCCATTGAGTGAGGAAGACTTGGTGCATATAAAGGAAACCATCCAGAAGACACATCCAACCTCAGTGACCCCTTCTGGTATTGATTGCCGGGGTTTTATACATCTTAACAAGATGTATGCGGAGAAAGGGCGCCATGAAACCGTTTGGATCATACTGCGGGCTTTCCAGTACACTGACAATCTCTCGCTTCAAGAAAGCTTTCTCCATCCCAGATTTGAGGTTCCACCATATGCGTCTGCCGAGCTTTCCCCTGAAGGATATCGGTTTTTCGTGAATCTATTCCTCCTTTCGGACAAGGATAACGACGGTGGATTGAACGATGCCGAATTGGCGTCGTTATTTGCGCCAACCCCGGGCTTACCCGCTTCATGGGCAGACGGCTCATTCCCATCTTCTACTGTTCGGAATGAAGTTGGTCATGTTACACTTCAGGGCTGGCTTGCGCAATGGAGTATGACTACATTTACGTCGCCAAAAACGACCTTGGAGTACCTGGCATATCTTGGATTTGAATCATCCGACAGAAGCAATCCTTCTACAACGGCTGCACTAAAAGTAACTCGGCCACGAAAGCGAAGAAAGCGCCCTGGGCGGGTGGGTCGTAATGTTGTACTCGGTCATGTCCTTGGGCCTCCTGGCTCAGGCAAGTCTGCGCTTCTCGACGCCTTCCTTGCGCGCGGCTTCAGCACTACATATCATCCTACAATTCAACCCCGCACTGCCGTCAACACAGTGGAACTGCCGGGGGGTAAACAATGCTACCTGATTTTGGATGAGTTGGGTGAGCTAGAGCCTGCCATACTGGAAAACCAGGTGAAGCTATTGGACCAGTGTGACGTGATTGTGTACACTTACGACTCCTCGGATCCCGATTCATTTGCGTATATCCCTGACCTGCGATCCAAATACCCTCACCTTGAGGAGCTTCCAAGCGTGTTTGTTGCTCTCAAGGCTGATCTCGATCGAACTACCCAACGGGCTGAGTATCAACCACACGAATATACTGCCATGTTAAATATGCCCAGCTCACCTCTCCATGTCAGTGTGACTTGGAGCTCAATGCAAGAGGTCTTTGTGCATATCGCTGAAGCAGCTATGGAACCTAGCACGGCGTTTCCACGGAGCGAGGAAGACGTTGAGGGTAAATGGATGGCTTGGGGAATTGCACTGGGCGCTGTTGTCTGTGCTGGAGCAGCCGCGGTAATGATTTGGCGACGGGTGAGTGGAAGTGGAACTTGAGGGTGATGTCCTTGTCTTTATGGTGCTGTATGCAAGATACCCAAGGCATTCATTTAATCGGCGATGAATGAGTAGACAATTGGCTTTTTTGTGTTCAGGAGAAAAAGTTGCACCTGTAAATCGTCCGAATTATGGATATATTCCTTGTAGCATTATCATTATAATTTTGTCCCTTTACCTTGGTCAAAGTGCCAAAGGGGAACGAACTTACTCTGGCAGCGCCGATCTGGGATCATTAGAAAGTTTTTGGTTAGGCTATGGTAGACAAAGCGGAGAACGATATGGAATACCGATAATTATTGGAACAGCAGTTGGGAAGCCCCACGGATCCGCCTCGTGCACACGAGAAAGCGGCCACCAACCCCAGAAAAGCTTCTCCTCACGAACGCTCTTTGGCCCTCCCCTCCTTTTGTCGCTCTCCGCTCTCCTCTTATCTCCCCCTGAGGACTTCGTGTTTTCTCCATTTTGGTAGAATAGCCAGTCCTTTTTCCTGTTACTCGGCCGTTGTTGAGTACCTGATCCCGATAGCTTCTCTACGTCCCCAGCTGCAGACGGAACTCCGATCGTTTCTCCGCCCATCGTTGCTAGGTTGAACTTGCTGCTCACCACTCCCCGGTAGCCCCGGACACCTATCATCAATTGAGGATAGGCTTTAGAGGGTCCTGTTTTGTCTTTTTGGAATATTGTGCATGGTCTCATCGGTTCTTATTAACTAATTTCACATCTCCAAATCACGCCACCTGGGGCAGCACCATTCGGGGTGCCGCTCTTGGGGGAGGATTCACCACAGAATTGCGTGACTAGCCTGTCACAGCTGTCATTGTCTCACAAGTGATTCATTTGCGTTAGCTGATTTGTGGTTATTAGCACGGTAGCAACCATGTTGTAAGGCTCACCCTCTAAGGCCCATAATCTATATTCACCCTTTTACCTGTTTCTCTGTTGAATGTGTTGATTGGTTGGCACATGGTTTGTTCCAGTTGCAGTTTAATTTAGCTTCGGTTTCACTCTGTTCCTCAGCTATTTAAGCTTTAGTTTTGTTGCGCTTCTCCTTAAATGACGGCATTGTTGCGACTTTTCTCTTGCTGACTTCGAACCAGCGTCCTACCCCCGCCTCCGCCTCGCTATACCGTACCGGTTGCGTACGCAGCTGGCGCGTCGAATGGCATGGCGGTTCCAGTCGTGGAGACCAACAACATAATCAGCCATCCGGAGGGCGGTTGTCCACTGCAGGTCGGAGAAGGTGTGTTTGCGACATGGCGCAAGGTCCCTCATGCGCATCGGAGCTCCAGTATTATCAAGCTTTGTATCATGCTAATGCTGGTTTTGCGATAGGGACTTATCGCCTCAAAGATGACCTGCACCTCGCAACCCCTCCTCCACATCCTTCGGAGGCCCCCGTCGTCAATCCGAACCCTCTTGCAACTGTTCCAACACCCCCAACATCCGGCGTCAAGCTGTCGCTTGTTAGTGTTGGCCAACGAAACAAGATCCCTGTGTTTACCTCGAATGTGAAGGTGACGGCGCCGCCATTCGCAGATGGCAACCCTGCTTTAGTGCCCGTTCCTACGAAGGATGGCTTAAAGAGACGGAAGCCCAAGAACAACATCATAAAGAGCAGTTCGTCATTTGTCTCACGGGTCATCACCCATGAGGCTTCTTCCAAACGACTCAACGATCGAAACCCTGATGGCCTGTTTGCCTTCGCTAATATCAATCGGGCATTCCAATGGTTGGATCTTAGCTCAAAGAATAAAGAGGAACCACTGGCGAAAATCCTCTTCACCAAAGCGCATATGTTGACACATGATATCAATGAGCTAACGAAAAGTTCTTCTCATATCGACATTGTTATGGGCTCGTCGGCTGGCGACATAATTTGGTACGAGCCTATCTCCCAGAAGTATGCACGAATCAACAAGAATGGAGTTGTCAGCAATTCTCCAGTGACTCACATAAAATGGATTCCGGGATCAGAGAACATGTTCATGGCTGCGCATGCGAATGGACAATTGGTCGTATATGATAAGGAGAAGGAAGATGCGCTTTTCACTCCTGAACTTAGCAATCATTCGGCAGAGGCGATGAAAGCATCTAGTCGGCTACCGTTACAGGTACTGAAATCCGTAAACTCCAGAAACCAGAAGACGAATCCCGTTGCGTTGTGGAAACTTGCCAATCAGAAGATCTCCCAGTTTGCCTTCTCGCCCGATCAAAGGCATCTGGCTGTGGTTCTAGAGGATGGATCGCTACGCGTGATGGACTATCTCAAGGAAGAGTATGTTTTACGGTCTTGGTGCTTTCTGCTCCGTTTCAGTTGGGGCAGATGGTGAGTGATGAGCGGCCAGCTAACAAAGTGGATAGGGTCCTAGACATTTTCCGTAGTTACTATGGAGGCTTGATATGCGTTTGCTGGTCACCTGACGGCAAATACATTGTGACAGGTGGCCAAGATGATCTGGTTACCATATGGTCATTTCCGGAGCGCAAGATCGTCGCACGATGTCAAGGACACAATTCCTGGGTCTCTACCGTTGCATTCGACCCATGGCGTTGTGACGAGAGGACATACCGGTTTGGGAGTGTTGGGGATGATTGCAGGCTACTACTGTGGGATTTCAGTGTAGGCATGCTGCATCGCCCTAGAGCTGTACGTCTACCCCTACGTAATCCTTCCTAGAGGCCTGTGATTAACTTATTACGCTATAATAGCATCAAGCTAGTGCTCGGCAGCGAACCAGTATGATTGCAAGCAATACACAGCATTTCAGCCGCCACAGAGCCGACAGTGCAAGCAACCGGATGAGGTCGGATTCTCAACGAACTGCAGACACTTACAATGAATATGACTCTGCAGTCCGTCATCCGGTAGAACCTAGGGCTCGGACAGCCCTATTACCACCTATAATGGTACGTTGTCACAATTCTCGCCATATCCTTTATCATTAGATTGAGATTGTATATCAGGCTGATGAGAACTAATCGGTAAATAGTCAAAAATCGTCGGGGATGACCCTATTTGTTGGTTGGGCTTCCAAGAAGACTCGATCATGACTTCTTCTCTTGAAGGTATGGATGCCTTTCGTATGCCACTTCAACATAACAGCAGCTGACACAGCAGAAGGTCACATTCGTACCTGGGATCGCCCTCGAGAAGGTATCAATGATAGTTACAACGGTAACACCTCGTCGCCCGCGATCAGCACCAGTGCCGCCGGGTCAGGCATAGCAGACTCGGTCATGGGCTCATTGTAGCCATTCTCTCCGGTTATGCGAGCCAATGTTGTCTGTATATATGTACACTTGTAACTAGATATACCCATTTGAACGTGACTTAGCTTCTTTGAATATCACCTAATAGTAGGGGCCACAGAAAACTAATTTAACGAGCTTTTATATCCGAAATATAGTCTTACTGGTAATAATA